AGGTAATTAACAATCTTGGCAATGATGACATCACTAATTATTTTGGAGTCTTAACACAAGTTTTCAACTATCATTAACTCATTATTACCAAAATAAAGATTTTGATTTTTGCATTTTTTTTATAACTTCTCATTTCAAATTTCATTAAATATACCTTATTTCAATTTGAAGCTAAGTTACAAATTCCTGATGGTGCAGAATTAGACTGTAAAATTCCAGAAAAATATCTGGGTATCTTTTCTGTGGAGGGGTGGAGGAAGGGAGAGGAAGGGAGAGGAAGGGAGAGGAAGGGAGAGGAAGGGAGGGGGGGAGGGGATTTGGGAGAATTAGATCAAGGTACCCAGTTGAGTTCTATAATATTATTTTTGTGAGTTGATAATAAATAATATTTACTCTAAAACTTTTTAGAGTTTGTCAGCATTTTAAGAAATTTGTTAACACATCTTAAAATTTCACCAATTTCAACTTTGTCGTCTGTTATTATAATCAGAATAAAAACTGTTGTTGAAACCATAACAACTAGGTCACATGTTAAATAAATCACACGACAAAAACAAACAGGGTGGCTCGTAAATTATTACGTTGTTTTTTAATTACATCCATTATGATATGACATGACGTAAATGAACGAATATTTTCAATTCCAAAAAACTTTCTGATGAGAATTCAGAGCCAATTATTTTAACAAAATCTAAATAATATATCTAATTACAGTAGAATTGAGTTAATAAGAATCTTAGTTATTTTTAAACCTGTTTTCTCTTCTCAGCCATTTAACACAGTTTTATATAAAATGTTTTATCAAACAGCGAGTCATTTATTTAGATTACATGATTTGATTTGAAACGTTATAATAAAACATGTCATTAACTTAATATATAACAAAATATGGAAAGAAATAACAACCCCTGTCTTCGTTAATTCTATTCAATTGAATGAAATATTATTTATTTGTTTTAAAACATCTATAGAAAAATAACAACGATCCTGTCTCAATTGAATGAAATGTAAGAAATATTATATATTTGTTTTAAGAAGTGAATGGCAGGTTGTAAAACTAGGTAACCTAGCTATAAAAATACAGACTTCTCATAATCTACATATAAAATTCTTTCTTACAATAAACAGTAGAAAATAATCATTATTTATTTCTCTGTAGAGTTCAAATACTTGATCTATATTTCTAGAAATTCAAATCAGATCTGTGAAGTTAAGAATGGTGATTGAGATATTTTTTAAATTTTGTATTAACATTTTTTTTTTATGAAATTGTGGAATATTAAAAGATGGTCTAAGTTTTAAACAACAAAACTACAGATTATTCTGTGCCTTCACAAGTATTGAAATTATTAAAGGGAAATAACTCTATTTTGTTCAGGCAACTCATCCTACTCTTTGCAGTATTAAATTGATAAATTGACCGAGAAATGAAAGGAGTTTTATGAACTACTTTTCTACATCTGTTTGGGCTAATAATTATAGGAATAAAAACACGTACAAACAAGACTATCCTGTTTAATCAAAATCTCATCCAAAGTATGGTAAAATCTAGAGTAAATAAAGAAATGACAAATAACAAAAAAGCTTGTTTTGAACAAAGGGGGATAACTCACATTTTGTTCTTGAATACTGCCAGTGCTGGTATCTGCGTCTGGTTTATCTAAACTCAGTAAACTCGGACTTCTGTCCTGGGTGTCACGAATCTGAGGTATAAAACGCTTCTTAATAGCACCTGTAATACAAAATAATAAATAAATTTAACACACCTGGATTAGCAGACAACATACTATTAACATCAAAGATAGTGTTAATAGATTTCATAAACTTTTTCTTCTTTCAGGAGGACAAGAATATCATTAAAAACACAAGATATATGGATATAGATAGACTACATTCCTACTTCTATATGTCTTACTAAGGATATCATTGATTAACACCATCCAGTCAGATGTCAGTCAGATGTCAGAGCTTTATAACTTGACTATCGCGAAAACCTCTGAGATATTACACAGAATAGAATTCATGTTTTAAATCAACAATTAATGCGTCTGGATATCCTTCCCTGAATAAATCAATATTTATCAAACTCTTTTCTTACCTTTAGAAGCATCAAATGAACTATCGAAGCCAGCGAATGTTTCAGCTCGTTTAGGCATGTAGACGGCGATATACGAGTTACTAACATGTTCTCCTACACTGCTCACACTACGACTCAGTTGCGTTCCTGATCCTTGTAGAATAGTCGTCAAACGAGATGCTGAAATAAAAAAAATAATAAACCTTTTACTTCTCACCCTTAATAGAGACTGACGGCAAACTTAGAACTTGTTACCTTGACAGTAAATTTAGATGTTTTTTATTTCTGTAAGTGCCAATACATAACAATGGTGCCAATCAACAACATACAGGAAGAACAGGTACTATTTACGATGTGGAATTGTAGAAAATAAAAATAAAAATGATATGGACACTAAGAAATTTAAAATTATGATTTTTTTTACCTTCCAAGATGGCTGCCTGAAGAACTTCCAACGACTGACTTCCTCTAGAATACTCCTGAGAATTTGGACGCTGAAAAATACAAGACAATAATACAAACTGAAGGCTAAACAATAAAATATAATCCTTTTAAACTGACATAAAAAATAGAGAAGTAATAGTTATAGTCTGATGAGGATTGTTGAAATGAAATATGTCAACAGTCAGAGATGAGTTCCAGCCACCATACAGGTCTGATTCTCTTTTTAAAAGAACATCTGTTTTGTTCTGAAAATTGACTTACTGAATTGGACTCCTCTCGACTGTTGGTGATATCTAAAAGTTCAGTCATTAAAATATTTTTCTCTTCACAACATTGTTTTATCTCTCGATCTTTCTGATGTAATAATTCTAAAAAAATAATATTTGGAAAAGAAATTAAATGCTTTTGTATTGAAGCAAATGTGACCTGGAGGTGGAAATATCTAAAAGTATCAGGTAAACTTATTCAGCGACCCAATCCTAACCTTTATTTAAGTAACATACACCCTACACCAAACAGACATTATTAGCTATGTGGACTCTCTGTAAGGGATGCTGAGTGTACAATCTCAATTGCAGATTGGCATCAGGAGATGGACAGAATGATGAGACATACCTATAATATTTTGTATTTTTGCTGCCCGTTCTGCTTTACGTTGACGATCAGTCTCAGTCTCCTGAGAGTTCACTACTGGTATCTCTTCTAGAATATAAAATATAGTGATTAGGTTAGCGTTAATAACTAAATAGCCTAATAATAGTCTAATGACACGATGTGAACTAGAGGCTTAATATAACCACAGATATACTGGACTGATCAAAATAATAAGTATGAATATGTAGGATGTAAAACTCCATTCATTTCATTTTCTTCCAGTCTTGGCTAGTTCCCAATCTTTAATAATATTCAGTGAAACTCTGGACCTGTGGAAAATAGAAAAATAATTTATCCAGAATGTGAGTAGATAACTCTAGTAAAAAATAATTATCATCTCACCTTCAACAGGACATCTTTCCACAGCACGTTTTAAATTTCCTGTCCAATCATCTCGACTTGATTTATTCTTACAGACCAGTTCGTACATCTCAGGTTGTGATTTACTCTGACAGATAAGATAAATACCATGACTATCTCTAGAGTCATTCTTCTCTCTAACTAGTAATTTATATAACGGTACAACACATGACTGAAATATACAAATTAAAAATAAGAAACAGGTTGTTATGATATATTTTATCAGAAGAATGTTATATATTAAGCAGAGATTCAAAGAGATTTTCTGTCATTTTCAGAGACACTCATTCAGACAATTCTAATTTCCAAACTATGATGTTAATATTTGTTCATGAAAATATTATTCTTCTATATAAAGCCTGTGATTAAGTAACTTATAAGTATTAAAACAGAAATCCTTCAATTTATTATTGATAACAGTTTGAACATCATTATTATCAGTAAAGAGTTACCTACCTTGTTATCCTGGACGAAGAAAGTATATTTCTGATTATTTTCCTGTAGAAACACAATCAAATCTGTCAACACCACGGCCAAAATATCTGAAAATAAATAACAGGAAATCAATTTTGATATCCATTTTACAATGTTTTACAAAATAAGACGTTGAAATATGACAATAAAAATGGGTTTGATGGAAAAAGACCATAATTCACAACAAAGTATCAAGCGAATCTAAAAACTTACCTGTCACTCTGCCTCGAGCATTTTTCCATCCCACAATTCCTGAAAAGACGTACTTCCTGTCACCCAACGTTAAATCTTGTCTCTGAAAAAAAAAAACCCCGATGAAATCATGGCATAAAGGCTTTTCGTATTTCAAAAGATTTTCCAGTCTTTAGTTTGTATTTGGGAGACACCTATAGATCTATTTGTACAATTCTGAGTTTCAGTTGAAGACTGTGGTTTCATATATTTCCTATAAATCTACAAATTAAAACCAAACTGTACCAACCTTGAATTTTTTCCCTTTAAAAACAGTGGTAGCACGACTGTCAATATTTTTCTGTAAATCAACCAGACGTTCGTAAGCTGCTACTTCCTGATCAACTTCATAATTTACATTCCGACTACATTGATGAGCTTCTCGTGTTCGTTCTCGATCTTTTTTATCTGGAATATACAAGACAGGTTTAAAATATCACAACAAAAAAACAAATTTTTAACAAACCCTAACATCTGAATGATCAAATAGGTAATGATACACGGAAACCAGGGTGAGAATGGTTTGATAACTGAATCTAAAGATCAGTTGGATTGAGAAAGATTGAGAATAGATATAATCTGTTAGTATTCTGTCAAGGGAAACCAAGGTGAAAAAGGCGACACTCTTAGAGAATGGTGTGATAACAGAATCTAAAGATCAGTTGGATTGAGAAAGATTGAGAAAGATCGAGAATAGATATAATCTGTTAGTATTCTGTCAAGGAAAATCAAGATGTTCTGGAAAAGTAAGCTTGTAAAATCAAGACTTACCTTTTGTACTATTCTGTATTGCTTCTATTAATAAAGGATATTTTGAAAGACGTAAGGTCACACCAAGTATAAAATCAGGAAATTCACGTTTTTTAACCATCGATAACTCGGAACATTTCTAAAAATATAAAAATTATTTCTATGTCACCTCGAAAACAAAACACTCGTTATAATTTTATACAATACAGAGCACGGGGCTGAATTTTTCAAAAAAGTCACGGACATGCTTCACTAGCAACTCTGGTAATATATGACGTAATTAATTGGCTGGTAAAGCAGACGTTCTGTGAAAGGGTGGGGCTTTCTTCTGTTTTACAAATTGTAAAGAAATTTACTCAGGTAAACCTACTCGAAAGAAGCTGTGAAACTTGCGTTCAGTTTTTAAATATTCTTTATATAAGGCTACAGATTCTTTATGTTTTGAACAAAAACAACCGTAAGCTTTCTTCATCTTCTCCGCATTCACTCCATTAAACTGAAATTAACATTACAAAAATTCAGTCTTTAGAAAATCAAACGAGTAAGTTTTTGGTTCTCTTCCAGATATCAGATTAATATTAAAACACTATTGAAGTCTTACAGTTAAAATCTGAGCCCAGAAATGTACTAGAAATTATTCAACACAAAATATCAGGTTGGAAAGAAAAATATTTCAATTCATCATCTGTTCAAAACTATTACATATTTCTACTGTGTTTCCATTCATTCCCAGTTATAACCACCAACTTGAAAATAATACGAAATACACAACACTATGATATTATTACAGAGATAATTTTAATCAATCAGATTTTCTTCAAATTACCAACAGGTGGAGTCAAATTTTCTAGAATTAATTATCGAAGTAAATTATCATCAATGAAAACTGAAATATAAGCCAGCAGATTTAAAAACTGAAATATAAGCCAGCAGATTTAAAAACTGAAATATAAGCCAGCAGATTTAAATCTTACCATTTCAAGTAAAACAGGTCCAACCTCCTCAATAAACTTATCAGTACGTTTTTTCTGTAGCTGTAATAACTGACGTAAAAACGTGGTATGGATTTCAATCAAATCATCCAGTTTGGGAAATAATCGTTCCACCTGATCAGCAGGTAGCTGAAGTTCGTTTAATAACCCATGGTTAAATACCTACACAGAAAAATTCAAAATTTACATTTTATAAATATCACCTGGGACATTCTAGAGTATGTTTACCATTCTAGTGACATTGGTTCTCAAATTATGAGCTAAGACAGCAAGAAAGAAGTACCATAAGGATACCAACTTGGGTTCTCAAAGGATTCTACAAGCTAGTTTTAGATTTAAACTCATGGTAATGATCTGGTAATGATCTGGTATTGATCTAGTATTGATCTGGTATTGATCTGATATTGATCTGATATTGATCAGGTATTGATCTGGTAATGATCTGGTATTGACTTACTTTTTGCATGATTTTAAGAGTACGACAATACTGTTTCTCGGTGACGATCAACTCCCAAATATGGTCTTGTCTTTTGATATCCTTCGACCCTAACTTCTTCACAATCTGAAAAAAATATTTAGCCAGTATTACTCGGAGTAATACACAATTCAAACATTCAAACATTCAAAAACATATTCAAATCAATTTCTGTTTTAGAATATTTACAATAGGTTGAATCTTTATATAAAATAACTTACAAAGATAAACAGTAGAGTGTTATCATATTTTACAGAATTATACTTACTCTTCTAGACACCTGATACCACTTTTCATTATGAAATACTTACTCTTCTAGACACCTGATACCACTTTTCATTATGAAATACTTACTCTTCTAGACACCTGATATCACTTTTCATTATGAAATACTTACTCTTCTAGACACCTGATACCACTTTTCATTATGAAATACTTACTCTTCTAGACACCTGATACCACTTTTCATTATGAAATACTTACTCTTCTAGACACCTGATACCACTTTTCATTATGAAATACTTACTCTTCTAGACACCTGATACCACTTTTCATTATGAAATACTTACTCTTCTAGACACCTGATATCACTTTTCATTATAAAATACTTACTCTTCTAGACACCTGATACCACTTTTCATTATGAAATACTTACTCTTCTAGACACCTGATACCACTTTTCATTATGAAATACTTACTCTTCTAGACACCTGATACCACTTTTCATTGTGAAATACTTACTCAATTATAATTGATATACTTCCTCATGTGAAAAGTTCATTAGCTGTTGTTTCGCCAATATGTTTTGGATTTCAAGTTTCGTTTTGCTATTTGTATTTTAGACAGACGATGATTAACAAATGAAGGATACGTAAATACAATTCCTACCTTTTTGTCTATAGAAACACTCCATGCTTCCGGGTCGTCAACGTTTAACATCAAATCAGGTTCATCATCTAGGACAGCTTCATCAGACGGCACTCCTTCTAACGATTCCAACGACTCTGATATCGTATCACTTATACTAGAAAATAAAATATACACAGTAAGTCTCAAACAATCTCAATTGTATTGTCTTATGTTTGTGATATGTTCCGCTCACTTCTAAATGTTGTTCAAGTCTTACGGTCAATCCAGACAGAAAGATCGACACAACCAAATTCTTTGATAATTGATATCCTATCACTGAAAAACTTTTCAGGATATATTTTAGAATCCTTCTCATTCGCATGTGACCTCTAACAGAATCATCAGATAAAATAGGTACTTTAATAACTCAGAATGATCATATTCCTGCCTGGCATTAATCAAGATCATAAACTTGATTTTCCTGGTTTTTTTCTAAACTTAAAACTAAATAATAAGCCTATACCTGTTTTTACTACCAACAAATGAAAGACGTTTATAAAAACTTAGATCCATTTTAAAATTGTCACTGGAGTCTGAATTCAAGTCCTTTAATTTGAATGAGCGCATTGATGGCGGGAAAGTTTACCAAACAGATTTCAACTAAAATACCATCTTTTAGAAATAACAACTAAAAACTTTTCACAGTAAATATAAATTTTCCTGTCTGTTTATCCAAAATTAAGAAGTTTTATATCAAATTCTGTCTAGTTTAAAACACACTTTCACAAATCTACTGAAATCTTAGCTTTTATAATAATATAATATAATCATCTCATATTCATTTTAACCAATAGAAAAAAATCACATGACATCAAAAATTATTGTAAATTGATTACGCAACAAATATTTTTCAAATTTCCAAATTAGTCAACATCATCTGCAGATAAAAATAAATTTCCCAAAAAAAAATATCTGCATATCACCGTCAAATTTATTACTTTATCAATATGTATAAGTTAAAGATGGCCGCTGGTTGCTATGATGTCACCCATCCTGTTTCTATGATAAAAATAAGGCGAAAAACACTCAAGCTCTTTTCCTGACAGGAAATGACATGAACCAAACATTTCGCCACAAATATAGTATCTAAACATCCTTTGAACATCTCCAGTCAGAACATATCCTGAGAAAGTTTCACTTCATGATTAGTGAATTATTAGTGGTCTGGTTCCCATATGACTAACTTTTAATATTTGGTTAAATCATAATCATAACATTGTATAACTATTTGGAGAAAAAGATTCGTTAAATACAGAATTTAATCCAGAATTAATAGTGGTCTGGTTCTCATATGACTAAGTCTTGGTTTTTCGATAAATCATAAATTTGTCAATTCTGATTGTCAACAAATTAGAGAAAAAAATTCATTGACTACAGAATTTAATCCACATTTCTAAGTCAATTTAGAAGCTCAAAAGTCCTTTATTTTTACTATGGTGTATCTTACTTTCAGATGAAATAAACTTAAATAACTCACTTTGAAGGTACAAGTTCTTGAGCAGGACCCATTGAATCTATCTCTTCATTGATAGCTCGACTAAAAAAATACAATTAAACATTAGTTAATATAGAATTAATATAATAGAATTCTCAATAGTTATCTATGATATATAGACACAGCTTTATGGAACAACAATCACTGGTTA